TCTTTTTATCTACAATTTGATGTTCCAATGGTCTAAAAATACTTCAACGTCACAAGAAAGGTATAAGGAGAAAATGAGAACGATTGAGAGCTTCATCACTTCTCCAAGACCGTATTTATTTGTCCATCAACCGTTAGAAACCCCAGCTTTAAAGATTGTTAGAAGAGGAAATTACTAAAGTTTTTCAGAAATTACAGAACAGTTTAAATTTCCCTTTCTTTTTTTATTGTTAACGAACAGTTAAAACCGTTTGATCCTTGTTATCGTAGCTATAATTTGCTCCCCCCTTTTTTATTTATTCTCCATAATTATTTTTCTCTTTATTATTTGCTATTAAATTTTTGAATAGATCCAACGAAAACTTTCGCTATTTATGCCAATTATTTCTTTACAAATTAAATTATGTTTTTCTTATAAATTTCCTTAAAATTATTTTGATAATATTAATAGAAGGATATTAATATCTTCGTAATAAAACAAATTTTTTTTAACCTATTCTAATTTTTTTTCCTTATAATAATATTTTTTCTGTGGATAGTTTTTTTTAATTATGGGCACAAGCAAGCTAAAATAATTTTAATTAACATAAGCGTATGAATTTTCTACCGTGTTTTTATTAATTTTTTTTTTTATTTTTACAATTAAAAAGTAAAAGAATATGAAAAAATTCAGTTTGTTTTATAAAATATAAGTGAAAGTAATGTTACATTCCAAAGAAAGCATTTCACTTATGTCAAAAATGTCTTCAAGTTTCTAAACGAATAATTTTCTAGAATTGTAACGAGAATAAAATAATTAATTTCGCTTATTATTTACAACGTTTAAGAATTCAAATATCATTTTTATAGAAAAATAACACCTCTAATTTATGCCTTCTAATTATAATAGAAAGATGAAACTTCGACGACACTTAATCCAGATGATAATGCATTTTAATGATGTTTTAGGAGGTGGGCCAACCCCTACAACTCTCTCCAATCCCGAAAATCAGATAAACACTGTATAAATGTATGTGTATGTACTGTAGTGTTGTATATGGTACAGTACAGGTGGAATCACCCAACTACATGCTTCACTGTAACGACTTAATTGGCTTAATATTTTATGCTACGAAGGAATTTAACAATAATTTTAAGGTCTTTCGAGTTCAAATTATTCAATAATAAGTGGGAAACCTGTTCGAAAAAGTTTCCTGTTTACGCTTTTATAATGAATATAAGTTAAATACTTTATACAATTTAAATATTCGTCCTTGATCGCAAACTTATTCACATAAATAAGCGACGTACCTTTATATTAAAACCGCTTCAAAAGATGTCTTTGAAGAACGAATTTTAAAGGGTTTTTTTCTTTCCTTCGTAAGAATATTTCTGAATAAAAACTTATTTTATTCATTTTAAGTATTCGTGCGATGTTTACAGCTGATGTATACTTTGTTAGAATCACTCACGGAGCAATATGTACTGTACTGTACTGTACATTAATAGCGCAGGGCCCATTAATTAATGAAATAATTATCAAATAAATATTTATTATTTAAATGCGAATCGTAACATAAATTAATTAAAATTAATAAATGCAATTACGATAGAAAAATAGGTAAAAAAAAAAACAAAAGGAAATTACTTCGCTATCAGTTATTAAAATACTTAACAGACTTTGTCTTGTGTGTGTGTAATTTGACAAAAATTCTCTAATGATGATTACTTTGCAGCATTAAAAATAGAAAAGTACATCTTAGATAATTACACGCCTGCAAGAATGTCAGTCCAATATAATTTTAGTATCAAGTTTATTAGTAATTGATATAGAAAAACACCAAATTTATTATTATATAAAAAAAAAAAAAATGTTACTCGAATATAATTTCGGTATCGGTTTATATTCTCTCGTTAATTTAGTAATTTACGCCCATTATCTTTGTATCGAGTATGAATAATAGTCGAGTCGATGGACATAGATACAGGTAATGAATGATTGAACTCTTCGAATAACCCAACACACTACTCTATGCGTGTGAATGAATTTGCAGTTAACGACTATCCGCTCACTAATGCATATAGGTATATATAATCGTTATATTATACAAAGGAAGCAGATTAATGACGTAGAACTAGCTCATCCGATCCGTCGCATCGCGTTTATAGGTGTTTGTTTGTTTATCTTATGAATGTAGGATTATACAATTATATACAGGATGATAAATGGTTGTCACGCACGCGAAGAACGACAAAAATATATTGAAGATAACCAACAACCTGATGAACCGATTACATTACGAAAAGTTCTAAACGTTTCTCCAAAGGCCATCAGAGAAGTACCTAGATGCTATCGGTTTAACCATTAACACCGCCATTACACTATAGCTTTTTGTCTAGTATCTGATAGAACGGTTATAGAAATCTTTACTTAATTAGATGCGGCTCAATTCTAGTTAATAAGACTATTGTTTTTATTACCCTATCCCAACCCAACCTCATTAATCCCTATCCCCTGAAAAGCTCGAGAAACACCCTTTTTTTTGGGGAAGGTATGGGATTGATGAGGTTGATTCGGAGGCACGTACCTCTAGTCTATTTATAAAAATGTAAATAAACCAAATTAAATTTGAATATATAAATAGATTAAATGGCCATTAAGGATAGATAAAGTTGAATAAGATATCGATTTAATTTGCTATTATGATAATTTAAGAGAGAAGTTGGAACCCTCGTCTTTCGCTTAAACGTTTTTATATTTGTCAGGGAAAAATAGATTTTTATCTTCATATTCTTTACGGGATTATGATAAATATTGAGATGATAGAACTTAATAAAATTACTAAATTAATTCAAAGTTAATTGAAATATCGAATTTGATTAAATTTATCGGAAAAATTATATCAGAATTTTATACATAATTATCCAATTTCAATTCTGTAATTAAATTTAAAACCTAATTACTTGGCTTTTTTTTTACTAATGGATCGATCGGAGAAAATAAAACAAATTTTTTTCCTAAGACACTTTTAATTTGTGTGTGTAAAAAAAAGTATTGATTTCTTCCAACGCTTCAATTAATCAATTAATTCGTTACAGACAAAAATTAGTTTTATTTTATTTCTATCCGCAAATCTATTATCTGGAGTAGTTATCATTTTCTGTTATTGTTACGTGTAACTAGAGGATCTCGAGCCAATCTCCTTCACCACCGGAAGCCATAGGTTACACCCATATCCATTAAAAGAAATCCAACACCGTAAATGCCAACCATATTGACAATTTTTTCCTTATTCCATTTAGTTTATTTCCAGGCTGATCTAATTAAACAAAATCGTGTCAACAATAAGTTTTGTTCGGTTGTATCAATAATTCGTTTGTTTATTCGAAAGCGAATTACTAATTTATATTCATTATTTCTTTTAACAACTTTGTATATTATTAATTCTACAATATCCATTTGTATTCATTTATTTAACCCTTACAAAATTGGTAGGGTCCGTATAGATGTGTATTCGAATCTTTAATTTACGTATATAGTCTATTTATTATTACAATAAACACTCGAATGACACTTACCATTGCAAAGAACTCCCGAAACTCTGCAATAATGCAACGCAACAATAGGAAAAACTGTCAAGAGGGGTGGACTTTCTATAGGAAAACTGGTCACTACAGTCGACCCCCCTATAATACTGTTGATTATTCCGTTTTATGTGAATTCCATGTTGTACGAGTTACTTAGATTTTACAAATACGTGTGTCAGGTTGCGAACGGCTCACGTATTTGTAAAATCTAAGTGACTCATACAACATGGAATTCATATAAAACGGAATAATCAACAGTATTCAAATTGAATAAATCGATGTTCGTTACACACCCAAATTTAATTTTAACGAATTGGCAAAATAACTAAAAACCCGAAAGTTATATAAATTGACTAATATAAAACTTAATCACCTTATAATCTAGTAAATAGTCCACCATTTTGATTAACAAAGTCAACGTTTTTTTTTTAATAATCTCCGCCTATTCGACGAGACATAATTCATAAAGTAAATCAAATTAATCTGAGAAAATCATAATTTTAATAACATATTTAATTTCCTCTTTTTATATACTGCCTTAATTAATATCCACTGATTAATTTTACTTTCTTATTAAAATTTAAGCGAGTTAAACACGTAAGAAACATTAAAAAAAAAATCAACCCTCCTCCTTCAAGTTTCTAAACGAATAATTTTCTAGAATTGTAACGAGAATAAAATAATTAATTTCGCTTATTATTTACAACGTTTAAGAATTCAAATATCATTTTTATAGAAAAATAACACCTCTAATTTATGCCTTCTAATTATAATAGAAAGATGAAACTTCGACGACACTTAATCCAGATGATAATGCATTTTAATGATGTTTTAGGAGGTGGGCCAACCCCTACAACTCTCTCCAATCCCGAAAATCAGATAAACACTGTATAAATGTATGTGTATGTACTGTAGTGTTGTATATGGTACAGTACAGGTGGAATCACCCAACTACATGCTTCACTGTAACGACTTAATTGGCTTAATATTTTATGCTACGAAGGAATTTAACAATAATTTTAAGGTCTTTCGAGTTCAAATTATTCAATAATAAGTGGGAAACCTGTTCGAAAAAGTTTCCTGTTTACGCTTTTATAATGAATATAAGTTAAATACTTTATACAATTTAAATATTCGTCCTTGTTCGCAAACTTATTCACATAAATAAGCGACGTACCTTTATATTAAAACCGCTTCAAAAGATGTCTTTGAAGAACGAATTTTAAAGGGTTTTTTTCTTTCCTTCGTAAGAATATTTCTGAATAAAAACTTATTTTATTCATTTTAAGTATTCGTGCGATGTTTACAGCTGATGTATACTTTGTTAGAATCACTCACGGAGCAATATGTACTGTACTGTACTGTACATTAATAGCGCAGGGCCCATTAATTAAAAAATTATGATAATAAATTTACATTATTTATATTTTACAGCTTGGCTTATGGGTTGGTTTATGTGCAAAATGGTTTCCTATCTACAAGGAGTTTCAGTCAATGCTTCTATCAACACGTTAGTGGCTATATCGGTGGATAGGTAAGCAAATTTATCATCGTCTCTACCTCTTATCGCTTAAACCTACTTTAAAGAATTTGGTCGATAACGGTTATTTCCATTGGTACAGGTTCTTGGCCATTTGTTACCCATTAAAATGGCAACTGACTCGTAGAAGCGCTCGGCAAATGATCATCGTTATTTGGATATTTTCGCTGTTGATCACGTTGCCTTGGGCAATTTATTTTCGACAATCACCTATCCATTCGAGTGCACCGGACATTCAAATATGTTCCGAAATATGGCCACATTATCAATCGGAAAAACTTTATTTCCTAATTGCGAATCTGTGTCTCAGCTACATTCTACCACTTTGCCTAATCACGGCCTGTTACGTGGCAATATGGTGTCGTGTGTGGAAAAGAAGCATCCCCGGTGAAGCTAAAGCTGCCAACAAAGACATAGTCCAGCGCTCAAAACTTAAAGTAGTCAAGATGATGTTAGTCGTAGTGGTGATTTTCATATTGTCTTGGCTTCCTTTATACATTATCTTCGCTCGAATAAAACTAGGAGGACCTATAGACGAAGACAGTTGGCAGGAGAAAGTGATTTTAATAGCGGCACCAATAGCTCAATGGTTGGGAGCTTCTAACAGTTGCATAAATCCAGTTCTGTACGCTTACTTCAATCATAAATTTCGGCGCGGATTCGTCGCTATTATAAAGAGTAGAAGGTGTTGCGGGACTTTGAAATACGACACTAGAAGTAAAAACAGCACAACTTTGAAATCTCAATATAAAGTTAATTCACGTTACGATACACAGTGCGATTATCTCTCTTCGTCCGCAGTTTGAAATCGTGTCGATCTGTTAATGGTTAACATATCAATTTTGATGTCGTCACTTTTAAAAATGTGCTAAAGACAAGAAAAATATAAATCTTGAATGTAGAATATTTCGTAAAACGAAAAACATCCTCATCTTCATTTTCTTTTTGTGAATTTCGTGGGGATATTTAGGGAACTTTCTACTATATTTAATGTTATTCAAACGTGTGCGTGTGTTTGGAATCCTTCCATCTTAAGTCAAACGAGCTTAAAGTTGAATGGAATCGTGGAGAATGTGAAGCATATTCATATTTTCATATTGTCAAATAATATGAGCAGTTTTATAAATAATTCTAATTTACCAGTTAGAATTGTATAAATATTAATATTGTAAATGTAATATATTTGTGATCTAAATAGTAAAATATATATGAGCTTTAGGACATCTTCATTTTAACTAAAAAATCACCCATTACCATGAATGGTAAATAACGAGATCCTATATAATATCAATAACTGCCAATCAATAAAATTTCCCTTTCATCCAGAATACTCGAGGGAAAGAAGTGCATTAGACTCTATATAATCTCAATGAATAGAATATATAGACCAATATAATGATATAGATTCAATAACTAACCTATCAATAAATATTGATTCCAAGCCTTAATTTCCAAGAAATAATTTTAAAAAAATGAAAGAAAAATATAAAAAATTTAAGTAATTCATTGTAACAGAATTCAATTCAAATTAATTTTATTCAGGGAAAAAATGTTTTATTTCTTTCTATGAAAAATCTCCTGGAAAACAAATGTAGACGTTTATATTTTAAAATACATACTGGCATTTGTTGAATAACACATCAAAGACAGTCATACATAAATGGCACAAAAATTTCAACATAAGCCAGATAACAAAAAGAACGTAACAACATGTACACATAATTAATGTAGAGAAATTTATCTTACATTCTTTTCTTTAAAATAATTTATGGAACAGTCAGACACATATGAAATACTTCTTTTTGTAAGCGTATAAAAAAAAACGGATTGGAATAGATTGCTATTAAATCTTTTTTTTCCAGCTAAATAATATTATTTTAACAAAACAATTCAATCCATTTGAATCTTGTACTCTTCTTAAACTTCTTTTTCCTATTATTTTTTTTATAAATATATTTCCAGATTAACAATTAAATTATCAAAATTGAATAATCTGTGGTAGAAGTAAAAATAATGATATGACTTTGACAATTAATTCATAGGAACAAAATTTAAGTAATATGGAAAACAGCATGTATAAATTTTATAAACATTTAAATGAATAATTCTCATATTGTCAAAATACAGATATAATTGACTATAAACCACAATTTTAATATATCACCATAGTTTTTGGAATTTTTAGTCGGAGGTGACATTTTTTTCTTTACTTTGGATTCGAGATAGCTGCCAATTTCCATGGATACTACCGAGATGCAAAGTCTATAAAAAACATTTTTCTATACAGACTGTATTGGAAGGCACTTGTCATGGAATTGGATATTGCTTTATTATAGTGTTTAGTCATTTTACTTAATTTTAAACAGACTTATTTAAAACTTAATATTGTTTTCCAACAAATAGAATAAAAAATATTAATTCAAAATAAAAAAAATAGGTATAATTGATATGCATAATCATGTATACAATATTTTGATCATATATTCAAATAAAATGTGCATTTGTGTAAGTTCTCCATATACTCAGATCATCTTAATAGCATTGAGAAGGAAACGAGGAAACATGCTTTTAACGCACGATGCAATAATCTGGAATGACATTTTCTTGATGATAACGCAAAGTATTGTTTACGAAAAAACAAAAAAGCAACAAAATTAATTATCGCTTATCTGGATAAATCCGAATATTGCTTAGCCATATAAACTAACATTCTTTAAGCGGGATATATTATGAAAAATGAACTAATATTTAATCGGTGAAACGAAGTCCACACTGTCGACGAAACTCTTGACCTCTTTCGTGCATCCATTTATTCGAAACTGAAAATAGATTATTTAAGATTATCATCTTTTAAATTTATTCAAAATTAATTATAAACTAAAATTTGACTATTCTTTCATATTTAAATTATTATTGATTATCTTTTGAATTACTTTCGGATAATTATTATTTGAAAGTTGCAAGAATATTTTAATAAGCAAAAAATTTTTTATCAGATTTTTGATATCAGTCTGGGGTGTGGTCATTATAATACTCCAGAGAAAGGTCAAAGAAACCATAGCTTTCAATTACTTCATTTATTATCATCTGATAACATAATAAAAGAAAAAGGAAAAAAATATCCTATTATGATAATTTATGAACTTAAATTTAATAAGTTTCAAAATTTTTATCAAGAAATTCTAATTATTTTACCCCATTTAGAACCAGCTAATACAGGACATGCGGCATGCCTTGTAAGCATATCGCCTTCTCCATTCTTATGCAAATTATACCAAAATGCAGCAGAACCCTGAGAAATAAAAAAAGTTATTAATAATACATTAAAAATGCTAATTAATGTTTCAATTTAATTTAAAACAAAATGAAAGATAACAAAATTAAGAAATATCTAAAAGTTAATTAAAAAGAGATTAAAATAATTAATTCACAGTAGACATAGACGAATGGAAAAGTTTTGATGGATATTACGCAGACTTTTAATGATCAATCATATTTTCATACTGATTTATATTTAGTAAGATTTAATTAATTACTTAGCTAATACTTCAGCATTTCTGTTTTAAAATTTATACTCCTATGATTTCAGTTTAATATCTGATTATGAAAGAAGAAATCATAAATATGATCTATTATATAAATGGAATAAACATACCTTTTTAGGCCACATTGCAACTCCTATTTGTGGAAATACTGTACCGCCACCAGCTTCAACATCACTCATCTGAATACAAAACAAAATTAATATAAACAATGCAAATAAAATACAGTAGAGTCTCAATTTAACAGACTAATTGGGGAGAAGGAATGTTCGTTATTGGTTAAATCAAATGCTTTAAAAACATATGTTAATAATAAACTTACAAAGTACAGAATGAATTAAAATGTTGTTATAATACATAAGTGCAAATAAAATGTTATGATAATGTTCATTAGGTAATTTATAGGATAATTTTTTGTCCAATAAATGAAGCGTACTCTAAGTACTTGTGATTTATCAGACAAATGCCTACTAATAACTTTAGTATCTATTAATTTTAAGTTCTAGTAAACTAATACAGTTTTTAAACAATAATTAAACAATAAATAAGTAATAAAGGTATTTGATAGAAAAATAAATCTTTTAAATAATTATTATTAATTAAATGAAGGAAAAATGTTATTAGTTTGATAAAGTAAGGAAAACTGAAAACACTTACATAATTAAGCCAAGTTGCTATTCTGTTGCCCGTTCCTAAACTTTTAAAAGCATTTTTTTCTTCTCTCTATAAACGAAATTATATAAATTATTTTAATTTAAATTAAACTACTTAATATATGACTAGATTAGATTATTTATATATTTTATTACAGTACATATAATTGTTTATAAATAAATAAAATACATAGGACATTAGCATTTAGTGTGAAAATGGACTATTACTTTAGGAAAAAAAGTTCATTTTCATACTAAAAAGTTTAATTTATTCTGTATAAAAATTAAACTCTTAATGCTTAAACAAGTTACTGTATAATCTTATTTGGATAGGAAAAAAATATTAATGCTGAATAATAATATACTTTAGATGCTATATAGAAACTGAAAAAAAATATTCAAGTAGTTGACTAAATCTGATATGGATTTTCCTCATTTATAATGGAATTAGATACCTTACTGGCAGATAATATCCTAAATTCCAATAACTTCTCTAAGCCAAACTAACATCAAAGAACATCCATTATTATTCAAAACTGACTGTTTAACATATTAATTACTCTGAGTTCACAATTTTTAATTACAATTATTTAATATTCATTATTACAGATTAAATTAAGATAAATTCTTAATTTAATCTTTATTAAAATTTTGATACTTCTTACAACTAAAAATGGAAACAAAATCATTTACATTATTGCTTAATCATTAACATAGCAGGAAAAAATTACATTGCAGATTGCACTAAAATGACTTATTTCCATTAAAAATAATTAATAAACAATAGAAATTCACAATCTTCATATTATGTCTTTCCCTCCTCAAACAAAAAGTATACAACACTACTAATAGTAACAATCAGTTTTTATAATTTATTAGAAATGTCAATTATTTCTAATATGCAGTAGTATAAAATATCATCATCTGATCATGACATTTTGTCTAGATTACTATTATATAATATTGTAATAAAATTACAATGCAAAGAAATTCAGAAAATCTCAAATTTAAATTATAGTAGTAGACGTATCTAAAATATTCAGGACTATTCTTTCAAGCTGAAATATTTTTCTTATTAGAAGAAAATGACTGTAATGAGTGATTTTGAATTATTCACTAAGACTTCAAAAATATTTTTTTGTATTTTGTCTTCAGTATTGCGCTTTCAAAGATATTGTATATTTTTGAATTAAGTTACATCATTAATTAATTAAAATTCTAACATAAGAAATCCAGCAACAAGTTGCATAACTTTCCCGGCAAAAAACATTTAAAATTGCATAAGGAACGTCTGTTATAATATTTTATTTTTAAAATCTTTTTATTTCTTGTCTTGTTATTTGGCAGTTTGCTTCAATCAATATCTTTATTTTGTCTTCATCAGCTTCAACTGGCCGTCTAGAATGTGGTGCATCTTCATTATTGAAATCGCAAGAATAAAATTTTGTGAACCAGTTTTGGCATTGTCATTCTGTTAACACATCTTCTCCATACATGTCACACAATTTTTTCTTGCTCGAATGGCATTCTTACCTTTTTAGTAAAAAACAAAAAGCAAAATATGCCAAAAATGCTGCTTTTGATTTTCCATATTTGATGGGACACCAAAAACAACAATTGCAAAGAATCAAACAAAATTTTTTACAGATAAGCCTTGAAATGTCAGTTGTCAAAATATATAATGACAATACGATTTAGAATAAAGTTGGNTATTATGGATTTTCCTCATTTATAATGGAATTAGATACCTTACTGGCAGGTAATATCCTAAATTCCAATAACTTCTCTAAGCCAAAATAACATCAAAGAACATCTATTATTATTCAAAACTGACTGTTTAACATATTAATTACTCTGAGTTCACAATTTTTAATTACAATTATTTAATATTCATTATTACAGATTAAATTAAGATAAATTCTTAATTTAATCTTTATTAAAATTTTGATACTTCTTACAACTAAAAATGGAAACAAAATCATTTACATTATTGCTTAATCATTAACATAGTAGGAAAAAATTACATTGCAGATTGCACTAAAATGACTTATTTCCATTAAAAATAATTAATAAACAATAGAAATTCACAATCTTCATATTATGTCTTTCCCTCCTCAAACAAAAAGTATACAACACTACTAATAGTAACAATCAGTTTTTATAATTTATTAGAAATGTCAATTATTTCTAATATGCAGTAGTATAAAATATCATCATCTGATCATGACATTTTGTCTAGATTACTATTATATAATATTGTAATAAAATTACAATGCAAAGAAATTCAGAAAATCTCAAATTTAAATTATAGTAGTAGACGTATCTAAAATATTCAGGACTATTCTTTCAAGCTGAAATATTTTTCTTATTAGAAGAAAATGACTGTAATGAGTGATTTTGAATTATTCACTAAGACTTCAAAAATATTTTTTTGTATTTTGTCTTCAGTATTGCGCTTTCAAAGATATTGTATATTTTTGAATTAAGTTACATCATTAATTAATTAAAATTCTAACATAAGAAATCCAGCAACAAGTTGCATAACTTTCCCGGCAAAAAACATTTAAAATTGCATAAGGAACGTCTGTTATAATATTTTATTTTTAAAATCTTTTTATTTCTTGTCTTGTTATTTGGCAGTTTGCTTCAATCAATATCTTTATTTTGTCTTCATCAGCTTCAACTGGCCATCTAGAATGTGGTGCATCTTCATTATTGAAATCGCAAGAACGAAATTTTGTGAACCAGTTTTGGCATTGTCATTCTGTTAACACATCTTCTCCATACATGTCACACAATTTTTTCTTGCTCGAATGGCATTCTTACCTTTTTAGTAAAAAACAAAAAGCAAAATATGCCAAAAATGCTGCTTTTGATTTTCCATATTTGATGGGACACCAAAAACAACAATTGCAAAGAATCAAACAAAATTTTTTACAGATAAGCCTTGAAATGTCAGTTGTCAAAATATATAATGACAATACGATTTAGAATAAAGTTGGTGTGTAAAAATACAACTAATCTCTCCGGTGGTAAAAAACAAAATTACTTTCTGAACAACCAAATATAACAGCTGAGGAAGTAAAAATAGTCTAGAAAAATTTGTCAGTATTTGATTGTTTGTTTGATAAATTTCAATTTTGAGTGAGTATATTTTATATATTCAAGATTTTATCAATCAAATACATAATTTTCAACACATTTTGTTATATAAAGAAATTTTTAAAAACATCTGACATCATTTTTAAACAATTTGCATACGTATAGGTGGAGAAGAACCATAAAGAAAGGTTGACTCTGCTAGTGCTAATTGTGTTCCAGTGATTGTGAATGGATTTCAGTATGACTTCGAAAGTAACTTTTGATATTTTGTTCTCAATACTGTATAAATATATTTCATTCTGGATTCTTAATCTTTATTTTTGCTCTCTCTATCCAAAAGTATTTTTAATAATTAAAATAATTCAGAAATTTCTATAAAAAAAATTAATGATAAGAAATTGGACTGTCTTTCATCGTTAAATTTATTTGTTTGATAAATTAAACAAGTACTTTCGACATTTTCAGAATGTCTTCCTTGGGTGAAAAAAGAATACATAAAATTCAATAGATAGTACAATTTCTTATGTATAGTATATTTGGTGTTGTAAGTGAGAATATAAAGTTTTATAATTAATGATAATAATTTAAGATAATAACATATTTTTATTAGAACAATCTAATCACTTTACAGCTAAAATCAAAGTATAGTATCTGTTATTAGAACAATCTTTTTGAAATCAACCACTCACCACACTGCGATATAGTTAATCACATGCACTGAACCAATTATGGTGTGTAGATAACAAATTCAAATAAAAATGAATGTTTTCAAACTCCTTTGATGATTTCTAAAAGAACATTCAAAAACGAACGTTTTTGAATGTTCTTTTAGAAATCATCAAATAAACTATAACTGATTCTTATTAAACAATGATGTTACTATTAAAGAATGTTTATATATAAAAAATCCTGTTATAATTAATTAGCATTTAGTGTGAAAATGGACTATTACTTTAGGAAAAAAAGTTCATTTTCATACTAAAAAGTTTAATTTATTCTGTATAAAAATTAAACTCTTAATGCTTAAACAAGTTACTGTATAATCTTATTTGGATAGGAAAAAAATATTAATGCTGAATAATAATATACTGTAGATGCTATATAGAAACTGAAAAAAAATATTCAAGTAGTTGACTAAATCTGATATTATGGATTTTCCTCATTTATAATGGAATTAGATACCTTACTGGCAGGTAATATCCTAAATTCCAATAACTTCTCTAAGCCAAAATAACATCAAAGAACATCTATTATTATTCAAAACTGACTGTTTAACATATTAATTGCTCTGAGTTCACAATTTTTAATTACAATTATTTAATATTCATTATTACAGATTAAATTAAGATAAATTCTTAATTTAATCTTTATTAAAATTTTGATACTTCTTACAACTAAAAATGGAAACAAAATCATTTACATTATTGCTTAATCATTAACATAGCAGGAAAAAATTACATTGCAGATTGCACTAAAATGACTTATTTCCATTAAAAATAATTAATAAACAATAGAAATTCACAATCTTCATATTATGTCTTTCCCTCCTCAAACAAAAAGTATACAACACTACTAATAGTAACAATCAGTTTTTATAATTTATTAGAAATGTCAATTATTTCTAATATGCAGTAGTATAAAATATCATCATCTGATCATGACATTTTGTCTAGATTACTATTATATAATATTGTAATAAAATTACAATGCAAAGAAATTCAGAAAATCTCAAATTTAAATTATAGTAGTAGANATAAAATATAAAAATTTAAAACATGTTCAAATATATTGAAATTCTCAGAACATTAACTTTAATTCCTGGCATTTCTATTTGTTTAGTTTTTAATGCTTCATTTAATGGTATGAATATTTATTTTTGTTATGTTTTTCAACTTTATTGTAATGCAATAAAATGATGATATTGTATTATGTTTCAAAATTTTCTTACAGATATAATTTAAAATGCTTGTATCTATTTCAGTTTTTGTTTCTTGTATTTGAAGTTGTAAAATTCTGATATAACATTTTTGATATGACTTTTTTATTAATGTTACTATTTTTTACTGTTTCGGGACAACAGAGTAAGAGTCATTTCAGTTATTTAGCAAATATCTATAGATATTTTGATATATTTTGAAGTTTATACAAGATAGTTGTATAGAGACTTGCATGAATGTCATCTCACATGACCAAACCATCATTGTTCTGTCTCTTGTGCCATACTTGTGCCATGTGTTGTTCATGGAGGTGTATAGTTTGGCTTGCATCTAATTGTTTATCATGTATAGATGGCAAAACATGTATTTTACTTTCCAGACTCTATTATATATAACAGAAAAAAAATATGGGAACATTTTTACATTTTTGGATTCAAAAAACTTAAAACATCAAGAAATGCAAAAACATTTACAGGTTTTTTTCTGTATGTATGGATGTGTTGGGGCATGATTTTCTTCACCCAATTTAAAGCTTAATAATCCCAACTTTTATCAAAAATTTCTGAAATTTTGCAGGAAGGTTTGTGGGCCTATATTAGGGGATCATGCTATTAAATTTTGGTAGTTAAAAGTTGAGGGGGTCATGGGTCATATCTCAAGTAGGGTTGGACTTAATGACAATTTTACTCATTATTAGCATTTACAATTTTTTATAAAATCATCCCAACCCTCAAAATAAAGCTTTTCACCATTTTATAATTAAAAATATGAAAAGTTTTTTAAATAAAATATCATAATAGATGGTACCACACGTGGTTTAAATGTTGCTGGAAAAGTTCAGTAACTCGTTACTTGATTTTTTACAAGGTTATTTAACTACTCTCACTAGTTAGGACAGGGGTGGCCAATAGTTTTTGCCCCTGGGCCAAATTGGAAAGAAAACTTTTTTCATGGGCTGAACCAGAGGCTGCCGTAGGAAAATTTTGAGCTGGTGAGAGATCTCATTGTAGTTTCACCCATAGAGACTAAATTGTACATAGAGATTACAGATACATTTTTCACATTATCATGCTTTATCAACACTCTACGCTGTACTTACAAGATTTGTAATGGAGGGTTAACTCTAAACGGACAGCGAGTTGTTGACCTTTTTTTTTTTCTTTTAGGCATTAGAATTTTTCACTGATCTATTCTGATTTTGAGTAGCTAATATTGAAAGATTAATCGTGGGCCACATAAATCCATTACACGAGCCGTATGTTGGCCATGCCTGAGTTAGGATGTTGAGTGGTACAAAAATAAAATTGTAATGTATAATGGAGTTGATCCATACAAAGATGACTTGAATTCATTCTTAGAGGATCGTAGTTCATGACCAAAGATAGAATAAGATGATACCTTGTCTTAATAACTCAACTTTTAACTCAATCACATAAAAGCATACAAATCACTGAAAGTTCAATTTTGTAGCAAATAGCTGGGTTGATCCAAAGATTTTGGTAAAGGGTTCTTCAGAACAAACCTTTCCAGCAATAAAAATTTAAGAAAAATTAAAACAAACTATAAGACTTGGCTGTTGTATCATTGCACTGACTAAAAGTGTATGTTTTATGATAGTTTTATTGGCTATTGAACAGCATCACTTCTAAGTGCTGTGTGGTAATTTTTTCTTTGTAATTGCCAAATTTGTTTTATTCTGTTTTAAAATTTATTTACACCATATCTCTTCATTAGGTGAACCACTCAAAGCTTATGCTTTCCCACATTTTATGTTTGGTTACTCTATCATGTATCAGGTGACATTATAACAGAATGTAAATGTCACAAATATGGCCTCAGACAAAATGCACACATGCAACACATACATCCAGGACTTCAATACATCACATGAAAGTTGTCTATAACAGTCTACAATAAGATTATTATTTTCAGTGTCTCATTACTGGGACATCAATATATGTGCTTTTGTGTTTCACTCATGTATTCATAGGAATAAATTCTGACATCTACAAACATCTCAAAGCCCAATGTTTTTAATAATACGCCAGATGATTGCTATAATGAATTGAATATAAAATAGTGACAAATATAACTGTGTCTGGTGTATAAAAACACTTAACTCCAATAATTTAATCCAATAATTTCAGATAAAGACAAGAATTAGTGACTAAACCATTATAAAAATATATTGTTATTAAAAATAAATTGTTATTAAGAAGTATCAGTTCAAATGCATTTCAAACTGTGAAAATTCACTGTAAAATATAAAAATCTAATTTGTTTAATATTAGAAAACCTTCTTTGATATAAAGAAAGTTTTATTAAATGCAATAATCACTTCAAATTATTAAATATATAAACTACTAATTTTCTTAATTTCATTAAAATCTTAATTCCAATGACAATAATTATAAATACCATATAAGTAGAAAATGCCAAATATTCTAAAATTTCTGGTTTGTCTGCAGTTTTATTAACTTCCTCATCAACTCGATCCAATGATTCTTGCATCCAGAGAACTGTATGATAATGGTCCCCACTATTATATGATTGCCGACCAAGTTCAAAACAATCACCAGCTGAAATAAGATTTAATAAAGCTTTTTATATGCATATTCATTCTTCTTAAATTAAATAATTATATTTCACTGTTTTTTTATTTGATCTTAACTTTACATTGATTCTTTTCTTAACTGTTACCAATGACTATAATTTGACAATTCTATGAATAATAAATATTTATATTATCTTTACCCACAAGATTATATGATAGAATATAATAAAAATAGAAACCATTTTCATTACAAAGTATAAGAGACTGCAGTTGAATACTGAAGTTTCTGAACTAACATTAATTAATTTAATATGTTTAAAAAATGGGAAAAGTTTTATAAAATTATAATATGAATGTTAAAAAACAATTACAGTAGACCCCCCTATAACACTGTTGATAATTCCATGTTATATAAATTCCATGTTGTACCAGTCACTTAGATTTTACAAATATGTGTGCTGGGCTGTGAACAGCACACGTATTTGTAAAATCTAAGTGACTCGTACAACATGGAATTTATATAACACAGAATTATCAACAGTGTTATAGGGGGGTCTACCATACAACGTTTTTTAAATATTATTGTTTATTAAAAATAATAATAATAATAATTAATTGTATTTCAAGCATTTAATTATTATTCATAAATAACCTTTTTCTTTAAAATCTTTCCAACCTGAAGACATTAAGAGAATTTTTTTTATGCCCATTATAGATTCAGACAGACCCACAATGGAAGCAACAAGATGAGACATGGGCTTGACATCTGGGTCAAATCAAAACTCAAATCAAGGTCTCCCAGACTGTCAACTGATGTCTTTACAATTGTCATAAAATTGTCTAGAAATAACCATTAGAAAAATATATAAATATAACATTTCTACAATAACTTATAAAAACTTTCTAGAAGCTTTTCTTAAATGTAGCATTTCATACTCCTGAGAGTAAGAATGCTGAATTATGCAGATGTCTATTTCAATTGCTCTTTTAATAAATGAAAAAAAACTCCAAAAATAGATATATATATATATATATATATATATACTTAAATTAATACAAAAACAGCTTAAATTCATAAAAACAGAATGTTTATTAACAGAACAAACATTTTCAACCATATACAATGACCACTTTCAGATTCTGGAATGGAATATAACAAATAGGACCTATTTATCAAAATCAGGTTGCTTGAAACAGATTCAAAAAGTTTTATTTTTAAAACAGTTTTTCATTCTGTCAACTCCATAGAATGATACTACATCAAAAAATATATTCTAGAGCTTAAAAACAAACAAGCAAATCTATTAATCTCAATATTTCCAGCAATATTTTTGTCTGATGTCTGTCAGTTATGGTCTGCAGTAGTGGATTAAAATTACATTTTGAAGATATTTCATAAAATTATTATTTAACATATGTATAAGATATTAATTAATTTATTACAAAATAAAAATCATTTGTGCAATTTGTTCAGTGTAATCAATTTGTTCAATTAATACTGGCTCATCAATCTGTTGTTTAAAAATAACAAGAATTAAATAAACTGTAAAAAGAACTATTGAATAAACTGACAAATCATTTTTATTTTATATTAAATAAATTAAAGAATGAAAGCTATGGAAATTAGCAAAATTTTAAGGTATATATAAGCATATTTGCAAACATTTTTGCTTTGTAATATTAAATCCATATTACTCCTATGGATTTAATATAGGATTATGAAATAGATGACTGAATGATTAATTCAACTGGATTTACTTTTTTTATCTTTCTTTCAAATGGAGAGCTAAGCCAAATGTCAACATCATCCTACAAAAGTTTAACAACAACCCACATCGGTTAACACTAAAATTAGACCAAATTAGCAAAAACGAAGGCCACTTCCTAGATGTAACAATTAGGCTAATAAATACTAGGATTAAAACAATTGTATTTCACAAACCCACATTACTGCCCAATTTTTATTCTGGCCACCTCATGTAACCTGCCATCCTATAAAATAGCAGCATTTAGATTATTAGTAAAAAGAGTCTTTTACACATTGTTCAAATGTAAAGGACACTAGCAAAGAATTGGAACATATCAATCACAGCCCAAATGCATGACTATAGCAAGAAAACTTGTTCCTACTTTAGTGGGCGGCTTCCTAACAGGCAATACACAAGCCAGAAACAGAGACACAAACAAAAACAAGAGAAAAAATTAATCGTGGTAGAGTTTTATCCCATCTTAAATACTATGTATAAACAGATAGCAAAATACACAAATCACTCAATAAGATTCAAATGTAGCCCAACCATCTTTAGACTATTGTCCAATGCTAAAGATGAATAGAACAGAGTTCCAGAGATGTATTCCATATCCTTATATGACAGAAGATTTGACAATAGCCTAACTTACTAGATTCTACTAACAGGGTCTTATCTCGGAGGATTACCAAACATAAGTACAATATCTCAAGCAATAAAGCAGCAACTATGCTTGCACAGTATGTGAATGAGCTGAGCCTGGGGTGTCAATAAACTGGAATAATGCAAAATTAATTAAGAATAGCTTTAATACCAAAAAGCAAGCTTAGATCCCTGGAGTCCTTGGAAAATATATAAAAAATCATGTGATGGAAAGTATATAAATGGCAAAGACATTGAAATGGTATTGACAACTTGGAAGTTGCTAATGATAACCCATTGAAGAGTAGCATGAGGACACTTTAATTTGAGGATTGGACAACTCAACTCCCAAGTGTTAAAATTTGTGGAATTTTACTGTTTCACTGTTAAAAAACCTTACATGATTTTGATGTCATAGAATATTTCTGCAGACATGTGTTGTTTAAAATGCAAGATGTAAAAGAACTAGTTTTTAAAAAATTCCAGAATTGAGCATCTTTGGCTTTCAAATCAAGATATTTTGTGTAAGCTTGAAGCCAGTCCCTAAACAAGGCCAAAAACATTTGCATTTTGGACACTAAATATTTTATTGGTGGAGAAGTGTAGGAGGTTATCATCAATTTCAGATAATTTAGTATTGACAGTCAAACTTATCATAACGTTATAAACTACAAGATATAAAATACAAGATATAAAATATGTATTTATGTATTATGTAAATCTTTAAAACATTTTTTATATTTTATCTGTTTCTTCAAAAGAGATAATCAATATCTGTAAAATATAAAAATATTTATAAAATTATTTCAAAGTTTATTTCATTATAAACAGTTTGAAGAAATTATCATCACATTACATACACTTTAAAGCAATAGTGAAAGGAATTGTGATTTGTAATGACCACATTGCTAAGTGTGTTTGCAAACCAAAATAGTGTTTATTAAAAATGACATTGGCACTGATACATAATGAAAATTCTTGACACCACTATTACAGCTTTTGATGTCAGAATGATTACTTGACATCTCTGATAGCACCATATTCCGTAGTGAAATAATTATAAATGTAAAACATCGTCATTGAATGAAGGTTTCATACTTTATTGTGTTTTGTGTAAGATAAAATGGTAATAATTTGAAAATGATTGATCACATGCATGATGGCAGTTTTTGTACCTGTAATGTTTACAAGTATGTTATAAAATAAAATAACTTACTGGAATATAAATACTTAAAATAATCAAAACACCTTATAACACCTTAGTAATTCCAGCAACGAAGTATTTAATAAAATAAAAATGTTTTCGAAGTATTTAATAAAATAAAAACGAACGTAAAATAGAATGGAAGCAATACAACGGTTTAAAAATAAACCATTGTATTGCTTGCGTTCTAATTTACGTTCGTTTTCGTTTTAAAGAGACTTAACTGAAGAAGACTATTAAATATAGTCGAAAACATTTTTATTTTATTAAATACTTCATTGCTGGAATTACTAAGATGTTTTGATTATTAAAAGTACGTTTTTGGAAATATTGGTTTTTTTAATTTTGTGTGCATTATAAACAGTTATATTAGTTCACTCATCTACAATGTATTTATTTATCTGTGGAAGGCTGTAAGATGAAAAATGTTGCATATGGATTGTGCATAGTGGAGAAATAAATGGAAAGATAAATTTAAAAATAATTCTTTAAATATATTTCAAATTATTATTCAGATCAAGTGCCAAGGATTTATTTTTTCCATCAACACCTTTAAATAGTATCTGTGGAAAATGTTCTAATTTAGATGAATTAAGCATTTTCAAGAAATGAGAACACATTTTTGTATAATCATATCAAAATGTATTGGGTTTGATACCAAATGCTAAGGAGACCACAAACGAGATTCCATATATACCAAAGTCAACTCTATTTGGTTGTTGCTGTACTCTTGGAAAATTCAGAAATGTCAGTATTAATATGAGGATACAATCTCCATAAGAATACTTTGAGTTCCATAGATATTTTACTGTAATTTATAGAATCGAATAATCAAATGCGTTTTTTGTTGTAATAACAGTAAATCCAACTAACACTGCTATGCAGAATTTGTCTATGATTGATATCATATCTGACAAGAAAAATAATTGCAGGATTTTGGATATAATTGAATAATAAGTACAATTTTGTAAAATATGGGCAAAACAAGTCATGTGCAAATCTTCTAGTCTTCCATTATATATAATAGTTGTTTTATCACTAACAGCTAGTTCAGTAAATAAATGATCCATAATTTAATAAAACTAGAATAATGAAATCAAATCTCATCAATTTTTTTCAAAATTCAAATATGTATCCAATAAAGGACAAATATGCAGTAGTACCTTCTACTTCCAATGATTCTAATTTTGAATGAATTACAGGCGAATAGTTTCGGTTGGAAATGCTTCAAACTCAAAAATAGTAGAAACAGTTTCACATAAGTGTGTTGAGACAGTTCCAGTTCTAACTACCAACACATTCTTCATTTTTTACTGTTATGAATACAGCTTTTAACGGAACAGCGAAGTCTTATCTGGATTTGAACATAAAACTAATTGGCAATGTTCCATGACTTTTATGGAATAATGAAATTAATTTTGAGTATTTGAT